GGGTGGATAACATTTACAATCAGGAGCTCCTCAGTTGCTCATTCCACCACTGAGTTTACAATGACTTACGGGTTAGAAAAGCCATACTAAGTAATTTACTACACTGCACCAACATAAGACATTAGAAAAAGAAGAGCAGATTAAACCCAAGATAATTAGAAGGAAAGCAGTTATAAAAAGTAGAGATCAATGAAATAGAAAATGAGTAAACAGTGGAGCAAATCAGTGAAAGCAAAAATTGATTCTTTGAAAAGACTGACCAAGAAAAAAGAAAAAAAAATTACTATTAGGAATGAAAGATGGACACCATCACAGATTCTAAAAACAATAAAAAGATAAGTGACTGATGTGAAGAGTTTCAATAAATTTGACAACTTAGATAAAAGTACCATCTAAAGAATACAAAATATCAAAGCCTACTCAAAAAGAAATAGTCTTACTCACCCTATATCTGTTAAAGAAATTGACTTTGTAGTTAAAAACCTTATACAAAGAAAACTCCAGAACCAGATAGCTTCATCTATGAATTCTTTCAAACATTTAAGAAAGAAAATAGGCCAATTCTATGCAAGGTTTTTGAGAAAATAAGAGGATGGAGGAATACTGATGAACCAGTATTACCATATCAGAATCAGACATTGAAAGGAAACTGCAGAGCATTATCTTTCATAAATATTAACATTTTAAACAAAATATTTACATATTGAATCCATATTTACCACATTACAAAATAAAGGAGAAAAACAAACTATTTTTCTCAATAGGTGTAGAAAAAGCATTTGAAAAAACTTAAGACATATTCACATTAAAAACTTAATGCAAGCTAGGGCTAGACTGAAACTGTTTCAAGATGATAAAGAACTCTGTAAAAACCAAAGTTAGCATTGTAGTTAATGGTGAAATACTGAATGTTTTTTTCTCCTAGGATTGTGAACAAGTCAAGGATTCTGCTCTTACTACTATTCAGCAGTATATCAGAGTTCCTAGCCAGTACCATAAGGCAAGAAAAAGAAAGAGCAGTGGTGAGAAATAAAACAGTGATTGTTTGCTTAAGGGATAATCATGCATATAGGAAATCTTAAAAAATCTACAAAATATAAGTGAATTTGGCAGAGTCATAGGAAATAAGGTCAACAGGCAAAAATTTGTTGTATTTTCTATACTATAAAAAAAGGGAAATGAAATTTCAAACATAACATATACAGTAGCTTCAAAAGCAGTAAAGTACTTGGATGAATTGAATTTTAGTGAAATATTTGCAAGATCTACACATTGAAAATCACAAGACATTGCTGAGCTAAATTAAATAAGACCCAAATGGAAAAATCTTTGTGTTCATGAGTCGGGGCTCAATATTGTTTAGATGGGACTTCTGCCTAAAGTGATGTATAGATGGCAACACAATTTCAATCAAAATCTCATCATCCTATTATTTTTTTTCCCCCAATTAGATGTGTGTTTTTGGAAGTTGACAAAATGATTCTAAAATTTAATAGGAAAAACAAGTTATTTAGAACAGCCAAAATAATTTTGGGAAAGATGAACAAAGTTGAAGCACTTAAACTGATCTCAAAACATGTAACAGCAACAGTGATCAAGACAGTGTGCTATTGGTATAACGATAGACATAAATAAGTAAAGTAGTAGAATAGTGTCCAAAAATAAAACCATACATATGTGGTCAAATAATTTTCAATAAAGCTATCAAGGAAATTCAGTTGGGAAAGGATCCTCTTTTCAACAAGTTTTGTTGGATCAAATGAATATAAACATAGAGAAAATGACCTATGACCCCTATCTCATATCAAACCCAGAAATTGAAATGTATCATAGATCTATACATAAAAGGAAAGACAGCAATACTTCTAGAAAAAAAAATAAAGGCAAATATCCACCAAATTGGGATAGACAAAGATTTCTTAGACAAGATACCTTAAAAAGGAAAACTTGATAAATAGACTCCATCAAAATTAAAGACTTCTGCTTTTTAAAACACATCATTAAGAAAATGAAAAGGGAATGAGTCCTAGTGGCATTTGGCTGCTAACTGAAAGGTTGGCAGTTTGAACCCACTAGCTGCTCTGTGGGAGAAAAGACCTGGTGGATCTGTTGCTATAAGGATTATAGCCTATGAAACACTGTGGGGCAGATCTACTTTGTCCCTATAGGACATATAGTTGCTATGAGTCAGCATCAACTCAGTAGCACACATCAACCAAAAAATGAAAATGCAAGCTACAGACTAGGACAGAATATCACAAAACCTCTATCTGACAAACAGTTGTCAGATTTATTAAGAAGTTGTTAGGAATGAATAATAAGTTAAACAATACAATTTAAAAATGTGCAAAAGACATGAACAAACATACCACAAAATAAGATAACATCTTTGGTCATGAAAGAAATGCGAATAAAAGAAAAAAGAGATACCACTGAACCTTCACTCAAAAAACCAAACTCACTACTATTGAGTTGATTCCAACTTGTGGTGACCCCATTTTGTTTCCAAGACTGTAAATCTTTATGGAAGCAGATG